CTTTTTTGCAGATTAAATGTCGGAGCCTCTGAAGTTCACATCTTGCTCACATTCCAGATTTAGATCGTGATGTTGCCATGCTTCTTTTTGTTTGTTGCTTTCTTGCTTTGGTTTGAGCGGATTTTGACGTTGCAGTTGGCAGGGGCGCGTCCATTCCAACAGGTGCTGTAAACCACCAGATGGGCGGTTCTGCCTTCACAGCAGAGACAGCAGCAACACGTGCCACGAGGCTACAGTACAAATATTAACCCCGAAATAACCCGGGCACAACAAACGAAACACCCAATTTTGGCGGCCACGTCTTCCTCAAATCCTGCCACCTGTTTTCAGCTCTCCTCGGCGCTCTGATGCCGTCCAATCGGAGCGCACGGCGCGTCTGGAGGCGGAGAAAGGAAGCAGAAGTTGGAGGAAGGAGTGAACGGGGAGACGGGAGAGCTGGAGATTGAGTCCTGTAGTCACATATTTAATCACAGGATGTACTGTTCATCTCTGGACTGTTGATTCACACCCTGCCTTCCCCTCCTGCACGTTTTGGACGCGCGCAGCCACAGGTTGGCTGATCTAATCCAGTCCCCATGGATTATTCCCCCTCATCCTGCTCCGATTGTCCCTGAAGCGGATCGAAATGGGCACCGTCGACGCGCCGGAGCCGATCGAAGGGGAGACAGACCGAGCCTTGTGAGTGAGCGCACGCGGACGCGGCATCTGCGGCGAGCCACGCGCAATTTTTTGGCGAGGCGAAGACCTGTGGAGGACCCCGAAGAAAAGGACGGCGAAGCAGAACGAGGACGGGGTGGCAGTGACAACATGAAAAAGAAAAAGTGTGGTGGTCCGTTTTCAACCAGCCAGTGATCCAACGGAACTAACCTGGGGGACAGGGACCGAGAGCGAAGAGGTCGGAGGTAGGAAGAGACGGGGATGGGGAGGGAGGCTGAAGGTGTCTGGTTATATCACACGGAAACTAGGTTACTCCTTGAATCCATCATTAGCAACTAATTTCTGCCAACTTATGGTTAACACGGGCTTTAAGATAATCCCACTTCTCCCGTGATGGAAACTGACAGATGTGAAATTCGGATCCTCCAGCCTCTGAGCTTGATCTCGTTTCCACGGTGGAAAAACCAGAGAGAGGATTTTCATCCTGCTCCTGGCTAGAAAACAAACAAACACGAACATCAGTGACAGACAGATGGCGTTTAATGGAAGTGATGCTGAGAGGAGGTGGAAACGGAGACGCTGGCGGAGCAGCTGAAGGAATAACACAAGGAGCCGCTCTGTCGCTCAGCCTGCAGACATTTAACCCAGTTGTTTCACTTCTCAGGCCTCTTTTGTTTCATGTTGGTAAGAAAAGTCTTTGTTTCTGATATTTTCTCATTTTTCTGTCTCAACTGTGAACAGGTGCTTGGCCACTTCTCTGACCATGGAGCCTCCTCCGTCTCTGAGCTTGGCTCTGCTGGGAGGGAGCGAGGATGAGGACCAGCGCTTCCTTCTCCCTCTAGGCAGCATACCCCATCCCTCCACCTCTGGCAACCAGCCAGGATCAAACCACTCCAACCACACGGGAGGTTCAAGTATCGACCGTCTAAATGGCAGCACCCCATCGCCATCCTCAGCCACACCCAACTTGCCTCCAGCATCGCTCCCCAAGTTGCCTCTGTCCTCCTCCGGAGCCCAGCCTCTGCCCCCACCCATCCCCAACGCCCTGCACCCAACCAGCACCCCGCTCTCGTCCTGCCTGGGTTCACAGCACAGCCTGAGCGGGGACAACTCCCCGGTCTACAACGCCCTCTTCTACTCCTCCCACTCCCCCTCCATGGAGCGTGAAAGGGAGAGAGACCGGGGCAGCAAACACAGACAGGCCAGTCCTCTGGTCCATCGCAGGGACAGTAACCCCTTCACAGAGATCGCCATGAGCTCCTGCAAGTACACAGGCGGGGTCATGAAGCCCCTGAGCCGCCTCAGCGCCTCTCGGAGAAACCTCATCGAGTCCGACAGCAGCAGTGAAACCAAAGAGGGCGGCGTTTCGGCTGTTGCCGGAGCAACAGCCTCTGGTGGGCATGACAAACAGCGAGACGCAGCGCCTACCTGCTCGGTGACCCAGTCCTCGTCTCACCAACCCCCAGTCCAGAGCCCCCCAGAGATCGTGATCTCCTCCAAAGAAGACTCGCCGTACCCCAGAAGAGGGTACGACATCACTGACTCCACATCCAACCAAATGTCTATCTATCACCAGAACCACGCACTAGTGGAGAGCAGGCGGACGCAGACGGAACGGGGCAGCAGGCAAGGCGGAGTCGGCGCGGTGGGCACCGGAGCCAGGAGCAGCACCTCCAAAGCCCCCAAGCGAAAGAACCAAAACATCGGCTATAAGCTGGGACACCGCAGGGCGCTGTTCGAGAAGCGGAAGAGGCTAAGCGACTACGCCCTCATCTTTGGAATGTTTGGCATCGTCGTCATGGTGATTGAGACGGAGCTGTCGTGGGGCGTTTACTCCAAGGTGAGGAGATGGATTGCGGTAGTTAGCCACACAATAAGACCTGTTTGGTGGAGTTGAGAGGATCTAAATCTCAGCCAAGTTTTAGTAGCAAACCTGTAAGGTGACATCAAAAAGTCGTCGGTGTTCTCTCGCCTCAGGCTTGGGAGTTCACACCAGGAAGCGTGTGAGGAAGAACACAAACAAGCTGGCTGCTACACCCACTGGTGACGTTAGGAAACTGTGCAGACGTGATCGAAAAGCCAGTTTAATGCAGCTTTACGTGTGCATGTTGAACCAGGCAGGAGTGTCCAGGCTAGTGCGACATTCAGCATGGACCAGGGTAGCAGGGGTAACAGGTAAACGTTGTAGTCTGACATTTGACCTCACAGAGGATCTGCTGTGGTCTCATAGTCCTTATTTGGTTGAACTGCAGAGAAATGTACAGATATGCACACATCTATTCAATTCAACTTTATTTATATAGCGCCAAATCACAACAAGAGTCGTCTCAAGGCACTTCACATAATAAACATTCCAATTCAGGTCAGTTCATTAAGCCAATCAGAAATAAAGTTTCCTACTTAAGGAACCCAGCAAATTGCATCAGTGACTATACAGCAATCCTCATACTAAGCAAGCAAATAGCGACAGTGGAGAGGAAAACTCCCTTTTAACAGGAAGAAACCTCCAGAGAATCCTGGCTCAGTATAAGCAGCCATCCTCCACGACACACACACACACACACACACACACACACACACACACACACACACACACACACACACACACACACACACACACACACACACACACACACACACACACACACACACACACACACACACACACACACACACACACACACACACACACACACACACACACACACACACAGTAATGTGTCCATGGACGTAATTTTCACTTTAGAAGTGGAGGGGACACGGGGGGGGGGGGGGGGGTTGTTGTATCTTTACAGTATGCTCTAATGGGAAACAGGCTTCAACACAACTGGTTATTTTCCACTTGGTCCTAGAGCTCAAAAAGTGTCAATTTAATATGGCGTAATATTGTTTTTGGATGGTAAAAGTTGCAGGGGTCAAAACTTGACTTTGGAAAAAGTGGAGGGGACATGTCCCCCCTGTCCCCCCCCAAAATTACGTCCATGAATGTGTCTATGGTTACATTGTGATTTCTTACTAAATATTCTATTTGGTGAGAGATAAACTTTATTGTATTTATCCTAGTGGATCTATAATTAAACGGGTAAACTAGTAGTAGCACATCCAACGTCAAGTAAAGCCTAAAGTTTTTAGCAGGAGAGGGAGAATGTTTTAGTGGTTAGCAGCAGTGTGCTAGAGGATGGCCCCCTCCATGAGGCCACCACAGCTCAGCAGAACGTTGTTGTAGCTTCTTCTGGGGAGAAAAACACTTGGAGAGAAAATAAAGTTAACAGCTGAAATAGCAGAAAATAATACAGTTAAATCTGTTATCCTCTGCTGTAAAAGTATCCATGTACTACAGAGAAGGTAGAGTCTGTGTTTAAAATCCTTCCTAGAGGCTTGAGTATCGGCGACTCTCCCGTTCTGCCTTCGTTTGAACAATTCTGTTCTTGTTTCTGTTTGCCGCGCCTCTCGTTTGTCGTCCGGCTCCTCTGCAGCTTTAAACCTTTTAATGTGACGTCCCTAGTCCTCAGACGCCTCACAACGGTGGCGGTTGGATCTGCGAGCTCGGCTGCTGCTTGACCAGAGTTTGTCGTGTCAGCGAGTCGCGACGAGACATGTCTTGTGCAAAGGTCACCAATCGGGTCACGTGCACACCCCGTCCCTGAGCTCTTGTGGACGAAGCGTTGGTCGTATATCCTACTTGGCAGCAGCTCGGCCGACCAGCGCTGCCTGCGTGCGTGTCGCTGGGGACTGTGATGACCGGCGTTGTGGGTTATGTAATGCGGCGATGCAGAGGACACGCGGGGCAGATAATCGGTAGGAGGCCAGGACCTCATTTGTCTGTGTAATGGCCGGTGTAATAAGCCCAGCTGGCCCCTGGCTGCTATTGTGTGTTTATTCTGGGAGCGTTGAAGATCCTCCGAGCACCTTGTGCTCACCCCCCGATGCAACGATCCCACCGTCCTCGTCCCATCCGTCTTTCTGGTCCGACACATCCCACTGGCTGAGTTTTCTTCATCTGATGAGCTGGAAATGAAAGTCCCCCTCCTGCAGCTCGTCCCAGATGGATCATTGATCATGTGACAGAGGGGGTGGGGCTTACAGGTAGTACTTCTAAGTAAACTGGGTGTGTCTTGTTTTAGTCTGAGGTCTTAAGTTTGAAAGGATCTTCCGTTTTTGTCCACGCCGCCGGCGTCGTCTCACTACACGGGTCTGAATTCCTCTCTCCGTCTCTGTTCCTCGCTTCTATCTTCCCGTCGTCCTTCTCGGAGGAGATGGCAGATGCTTTTATGCTTTTATGCCATTCTCTTTCACTTTGAATCCACGCTCGTCTCTTTATCCTTTTTCCTTTATTTTCCTCTTTCTTTCATTACCCCCCCCCCCCTCTCTTTCTCACTCCCTCTGCTTCTCTGCTCCTGGAGTGGGCGTCAAACTGGGGGGAGTGTGATGGAAAGAGAGAAGCAGCTGGGCGAGAATGAAAGTCTGTGGAAGGGAAGAAGAAAGGGAAGGCGATAATGAAAAGCCTGATTTAGGTTCCTAAGTTTCCGTCGATGCGGTCCTCGTTTCAATCTGCTGCTATTGTCCGTCAGAAGACACATGAATGGAGATTCATTTGAGCTAGGTTATCAGTGGATGTCAGCCATCGCACTGCCTCGGTTATAATCAGTCACTCTGGGTGTTTCCTGCTGGCTGGACGTGAAAATAGTCTCCTACACCTGTCTCCCGCATTAGCTTCTGACAGAAAACAGACGGTGAAACTCTAGGATTAGAAAATCCTGACAGGTCTACGTCACCCTGTCGCTTAAAGGTGCTCCGGAGGAATTTCTCTACATGTTTTGAAAATAATGTTCGCTCTGTTTGCAAGTAGCTGCCGGCCCTGCAGCACTTCTTGCGGTAATCTGAAATGAATTCTCCGGATAGCTTACCTGTCGAGCAGAAAACCGGCGACGGAGGCGTCTGGGGGAAGCCCGGCCTTCACTTTCAGCACACGCCGTCGCTGAAAAGACTCTCCTGAAAAAACTCTGGTCCTGTTTCTCACTTCGGAGGCCTTTCTCTTCTTATCGTAGACGTCAAAGACACTTATTCTCTCGCGACTTTCAGCCGTTTTCAAAAGAACCCGGTGAGAACGGCGAGGAATGAAGGCGCACCGCTCTACATACAGACAGAATGCACATGTGCATGGAGTGAAAACTAACCCAGGAACAAGTACACAACGGCGGCCTTGCGTTAAAACTTCGCCAGAATGATTGACAGGAATGAGAACCAATGGTTCAGCTGATCCATCCGGAAGAAAATATCCTCCGCTATACCTTTAACATTCATGCGTTAGCTTCTGGTAGAAAACAGACGGTGAAACTCTAGGATTAGAAAACCCTGACAGATCTACGTCACCCTGTCACTTTACATTCATGGACTCACCCATCTGGACTCACGACGGGGAAGGCTGTTGTTGGTTTAGCGTCCAGCAGAGAACGTCTCAGCTAGTAGAAGCTAACTGTGAGCATTAGCAACTCCACCCCACAGCAGAACTCCTCCAGGCTTGTGTTATTAGTGGAGATAAAACATCAACGTTGCAGAGCAGAGTCAGTGGTAGAGTCGTGTTGCTGTTAGCCAATCAGAGGAGAGATGTCCACATATCAGGAAGTAAGACTCCAGATCCTGTGGTCTGAAGCTACTTTCTCCTCCGGCTGAATTCACCCCGTTAAAACCGACGCCTCTGGACTCGATCCACGCAGTCTGTCGCTGTCGACGCTTCTCCCAGCTCGCCTGCTGGTGGTGGTCGGAGGGACCGGTGGCGCCTGTGTGTGTATGGCAGCCTCGCCTCTGTCGGTGCACCCCAGGGCAGCTGTGGCTACATCGTAGCTCACCACCACTAGCGTGTGAATGGATGAATGACAGATTGTGTTGTAAAGCGACTTGGGGGGCTCTAGGGCTCAAGGCACATTTACAACAGGTACGATGTTATTTCTATGCCTTTTTGATCGAAACCCACTTCAAATGAATGATAACTTTATACGTTTCTTGTTAGTTTCAGTAGGAACAACACCCCAAAGCCCCGTTTCCAGACTACCTCCAGCAACTATTTTAAATGTAGGTTTGAGTCCAGCGTACACTGAGGGCCAACCAACAGCTCAAACACTCACTCAGATAACTGAGGTAGACAGAAACCTGCAGGCTGTTGTGAAAAAAGGGCTGAGATCACGAAGATGAGAGAGAAATCAGGAGGAGATGAGCGGGGAGACGGCTCAGAGAGAAGTTTCAGCTGTGGTTTCAACTCGCCTGAGTGCGGAAGCTTTGAACGATTTCTTCTATTGATTACTGATAATCACTCACACACACGCACGCACACGCACGCACGCACGCACGCACGCACGCACGCACACACACGCTGTTTATACTCCCTTTGAAAATGGCTGTTTTCCTCTGAGCTACACACGGCGCCTGTTTATTGACAACCATTCTGGAGATGGTGCGAGTGTTTGTGTGGAAATCCGACCGCTAACAAACGTTTTCATTGTTAAAAACACACACAGGCTCAGTGTGGCTTTCTGTTGTTTCCAACGGTTGCTACCAAAGGTCCGTCCAGGAGGTCCAGCTGCTCGATTTCACTCCCAAAAATAGAGATGAAGAATACGATTGGAACTGAACAGGGTGGGTTGCATTTGGGGGAGTGTGTGTGTGTGTTGGATAAAAGAAAAGACATCGGAGAGCATGGCGTTCGTGGCCATGAATGTTGTGAGCAAACATATTTAAATACATGCTGAACAGATTTTAAAAACCACAGAAGCACGCTCCGAAGCTCTAGCTGCTCCTTTTCTCTCCTCCGTCACCGTTCTGACCAGTTTAATCACATTTAGG